TTTTCCTTTGTCACTGTCTGAGGTGTAACACCACCTGGTTTTGGTTGTTTTATTGTTGTGTTTGGTCCCCTCTCTTACTCAACTAACACTGTATGTTAGTTATTTAGGATGAGGTTTTGTTGCACAGACTGTCTGAAGCACCACTGTAATTTGTGTTATGTGAACTGAGGTTTTAGGACATCAAAATGGTTTTAAAGCTTGTAATGTTTAATAAGCAAATAATGAGTTCTGTCGTTGTGCAGGCGTGTCCCTAAAGAGACTCTTACACTAGAGTCTCTCTCTAGAATTTGTACTCTTGTAGCACCTGCTTGTTAGAGACTAAACTGCCTTCTCTTACTTGACTCTGCCTTGCACTGAATTTACAGACAAAGGAACTTTTAGAGATGTACATCTTCACTCTGCAAATCAGAAATCAGGTCTGATCTAATGCAAGTTGGGGTTTGGAGACTGTTGCTGTCTTCTCTTGTCTTGTGTATTCATAATTTCCTCCACAGGGCTTTGTGCTAGGCTGTACATACAAGGCAAGAAATTGAACTCTGGAACTGTGCAAAAGCTATTTAACTGCTATTATTAATTTCTATTGATGCTTTCCAGTGTGAGAATGTATTTGAGTTCTGTTTTATTGACAAGACGTCATTGAACTGTAATAAAGGGCCAACACTATTTTGTCCTATAGAGTAAAATTAGCAAGCAGAGACCTCTGCTAGACTCTTGCTTGTTCCTGTTTAAAGTCATAAAGTGTAAGGAATTGTAGGTGAAGGTGGGTTTGCATTTGCAATAATTGGGAAGCTTAGTTATCTGATATGCAGAAATTATGAACAGTGGGACAGTTAATTTCCTTGCACATTAATGATTTATGGGAACTGGCATAAGCATTTAAAGATTTTTGTTTTATGGTGTTTCAGCTAATGTCATTTGTAATTTTTATCACCTTGAGTGTTAGCTTTTTCATATTCTCTTAGCATCTCATCACATTGCAGTGTGTGCCAGCTCTTAACCACTTAATTGATAGCATGGTGTAGCAGTGCCTCCCATCAGCAGTGCTTGATGCTTGGTGATCCTATGAGGTGCTTCACAATCCACAGGCCAGTTCAGGCTTCTGCAAATCTTACTGCCCATGCTAGCTAACGAGAAACAACCTAGCTACTGCTTTTCCTCCTTCTTGAGACTGTCTTCTCAGTGACTCTACTTTCTCTTAAGTCTCTTGGGTAGAGATCACTTGGAGGATCTTTGATTTCTGAGTTAAGAATGGCACGTTTCATTAGGCAAGTTGAATAAGCTATAGCTTAGTGGAAAATTAATACTTTGTCCTAAAAATGTTGCATTTGATGCCTAGTGGTCCTACTCACAGTCTGCCATTTTCCCTTGATCACAGATCTTATTTGTGTATTCTTAAGATGAATACAACTCCAGTTATTGGAGTTCCTCATATGTGACTTGCTGTGTTTTTATTTTCAGGGACAGAATGATGCTGCTGAAATTAGAACAGGAAATTTTAGATTTCATTGGTAATAATGAGTAAGTACTGTACTCCTATAGGAAAAATTACTTCAAGAGTGTTCCTGTTTACTTAATAAAGCTACTTTTCCTTTCTTCCAGAATTCCAAGAAAAAAGTTTCCCCCCATGACATCATACCATAGAATGCTGTTGCACAGGGTAGCTGCTTACTTTGGATTAGAGCACAATGTGGACCAGAGTGGGAAGTCAGTCATAGTAAATAAAACTAGCAATACAAGAATGTAAGTGTAAAAGTCTTGAAAAAAACTTCTTGGTGCTTAGATGTAACACCTGAGGTATAAAATGCAATGATACAGCAGCAAGGCTCTATCTGCTCATTGGGAACTATGCAGCAAGGAGATGTAACTGCAAGATCTTTACTGTTTGTGTTCCAGTCCTATCTCATAATGTGATCTGTCTCATGTTTTTGTTGATTTTTGTTGCTTTCCTTGCAGAGATGCATTGTGAACTTTGTTTCCATGAAATATGAATTTATAGCAACTATTTATCTGTTTAAAGATTTACACCAGTGAAGTGTACAAAGTGCATTCTTTGTTTATTTTGGAAAGCAGAATCAGCCCTTAACTTAGAACAGGGTGATTTCTGATTTGGTGAATGGAGAGGGACAAGACTTGCACAACTTGGCTTTTGTACTGTAAAAATCTACTGGGAAAATTCAGACATGGAAGTATTCTATTGGAATAATGTGGCCTATAGATCTCACATGACCTTAGACCATAAATGTAACAGGGCAGATGGGCATCTGATCAGTGGAAGTGTCAGCCTGGGTGATGAGTCATGGCATGCTGCTTCACTGGGAAACCACTTGGCAAAACCATCTTACAGGAGCAGTAGCACTGGGGCCACGGCAGCTCCTGACCCCTGTGTAGTTGCAGTTTTCATTCAAAGGACTCAGCTGTTCTCTCTGTCCTCTGCACTTGCTCTGTCTCCTCATTCTCTCTCAGACAGACAAAGGACTTGTGTTGGTGTATTTATACTGCCTGGTTGCTAGTTTTAATTTAAAGCATATTTGCCTGACACCATTTTTGTTGGGGTGTGTTTCAGTATTCTATGATTTGAACATGAAAATAGGAGAAAGTAGGAGCTGTAAACTAATCCCAATCTCTATGTACCCTCTCCATGGCTTTGAGAGGAAAAAAAAATGTATCTGTCCTAATTTTAGTCAGTAGAGCTGAAATAACGTACCACACTGACATCTCACTGAAATAAAGTTTCCTCCTCAAATGTTTCTAGAAAAATACATTGAGCCTAAACATGTGTTAAATAACTTACATATTTGTGCATGTGGTATTGCTTTGGCATACATTCTCTATCTAAATTGACTTGTAAAGTCATACATTTCAAATCTGTTGCCTTTGCATCTACCAGTAACTCTGGACTGAAGCTTCAATCTGGCACGTCAGGTGTGGAATAAGAACTATTAAAAGAATATTTCTCAATTTTTATGTTTTGGTTTTTTTCCTAGACTGTATTTAAATAGCTCATAGCCTCTGGAAGCCCCCGATAGGTGTAGTTACTAATTAGCAGGCATTTCATCTAACCTGCAGACATTAAGATTCTTAATGTTTTCAGTATTCTTATTTTAAATCGCTTTGGATATAAAATAAGAATTTAGAAAGAAAACCTTGGAGATCTGCTCCATGTTGAATAAAACCAAACTTACCTTTTCCTCATAGGCAGATTCCTGGCTCCATCACCGATCAGTGATGTTACTGACATCAACAACCCAGTGCATACTGGGACGTCTCAGTGGAGTGGGAAGTTGGTGATTGCAGGGCAGTAAATTCAGGGACCTTTAAAAGAAAGAGGTAAGACAGTCTAAAGGTTCTCTGAAATGCCTGCTAATTATGTTTGGGCATCCAGTAACTGATAGTTAGGCTTGGCTGTTCTCTAGAAAAGATCATCTGACTTTATACCGGTGTCCTGGCTAATGAATAAAGAAACAGAAATAGAGGAGTATACATATGTTTTATCCTTTATTAGGCAAATATTCCCTGATTGTTTGAGAACTTCTTTTACAATAGTAGTAGTTTTATTGTCTAGGTACTTAATATCTATTATTAATGACAAGAGTTTGCAGATAATTCACTTTCTTTTAGAAAGCAGGTAAAATATCAAAACAATATATATAAACTCTTGCTTCATCCTCTCACTGTGATCTTATGAAGCTCTTGCTTGCCTGCATTGTATTGTTCTTCTCTTGCTTATTTCTACTCAAGTTTGTTTTAGAATTTTGTAAGTTCCAATGCTTTCTTCTCTATCTTCTTATCTTCTGTTTCCCTTGAAATGAGTTCTGAGGTATTACAGCTCTAGCAGAAAGCACCTCTCTTCACTTCCATGCATGCCCAATATCCATTGCATGGCACCAGTTTGGATTGAAGAGCACTTCTGATTGCCCAAGGGCATATGGTTTGCTTGCCAGCTTAATTGGAAATTGAAGCAAAAGCTTTGAAGGAGGAAGAGATTTTAAAAGCAGGTTTGCTTAGTCTCAGGAACAGGACTTGTCAGGGGCATGCATCATCTTATGGTTTTGGTACCTTTTCCATTGCCTGGACAACCAAAATCTATCACTACAGTTAGAATATTAAGTATATCAAACATTAATCTCTAGTATATTTCAGTTTGTTCCACTGTGCTTAGTATATGTTTACAAAGCCATCAATCTTTTCTTTCTAACAACTTTTCACAGACCTGACCAAAAGTTTTGTGAACACATAAAGGATGAGAAGAGTGACGACTTCCAGAAGCGGTACATCCTTAAAAGAGATAACTCTAGTTTAGACAAAGATGACAACCAGGTAAATGCATCTGGGCTATTTCCTCCCACTTGCTCTATTTGACTGTGTTTTTATACTATTTTCCTCTAGAAATTGACGCTGTATCACTTAATTTAGATGAGAATGCGATTAAAAGATGACAGAAGAAGTAAATCCATAGAAGAACGTGAAGAGGAATATCAGAGAGCTAGAGAGAGAATATTTGCACAAGATGTATGTATCAAAGAAAATCTTATAGTGCTTTGTATCAATACTTCACACTTCATACTTTTCTTAAAAGATACAGAAAGTTTCTTGGAAATAAGTATCTGAAGGGGGCTGAGGAGTCAGGAGTCCTTCGTGTGTTCTGAGTGAGTTTTAGATGATAATGAAGTTCCCAATACACGTTCTGTTTTCTCCAATCACTACTGTATGATACTCAAGCACCCTTCTAGAATTATTTTGGTGCATTATCCAGCATTACCTATTTCAATGCATTATTTTGCCCCTTATGGAAATATAACTTACAGAGCTTTGGCACTGTAATCATTGCAGCTGTTACTCAGAGCAGTGATTATTTAATGAACAAACAAAAAACCCCAAACAAAACGTCTTTTTCTCACTTATGTCTGTATCAAACACATCTTACTACTAGTGACAATAAAATTATTTGGATTCACCTATATGAAATTTCAGTCAGAAACCTAGAAGTCTAGTCTCTCTTGACTGGACTGATCAAGGAGAGCAATACTGTAAATTTCAACTCAGTCACAAGTAGTGATTATATGTAATTATATTGAGCGAAACAGAACACGTCTTCAAAAATGTGTTACTTCAAATAACCTCCTTTTTCAGATATCTATATGTAGCTTTTACACATCCAAAACCAGATTCTTGTTCTGAAGAAAGAGTGATGACCTCTAAGAGGCTAATTTGCTATGTCCAAATATTTTCCAAGAGGCACTTTTTTTGTTCATCTTAGTTATGAACACACAGAATGAGTTTTGGATATAAAATTACCTTTTCCTTTTGCATACTCAC